GGGGGGGGAAGGGGATAAGTCAGGGATTGAGTAAAACAAAAATAAACACAGTCTGGGCTGTTCGGTGGGGATATCCATGTTCATTTTTTCATATTTATGTGGTGGGTAATTTTCTCACATGAAAGGAAAGTTGCTAACACTTGAATGGATAAAATTACCCCTTTTAATAATGCCTTTTATATTCAAAATGGTCATTGTCTTATTTATCTAAAAATAAAAGAACATGGGTACTATTAAGTATTTCCTATGAAACACTTATCTGGTAAGTGAATTTACTTGGATAAATAACTTCCCAAAAAAGCGAATGGGGCCTAAGTACTTGTATTATAAAATATCATATGCTACAAATACAAAGAGTCAGATTACATAGTGCCAGTTTGATAGGTCTTTACTGCATCTGCTTCTGGCATTCTATGAATTGAGAAACTCAAAACACAATAAATTTGATAAAAATTTAGAAAGCTGGAATAACTTTCCAGTGGAGTTATCTCACATATAGAGGTGTAAATCGGGTCGTGCCGCCTATAGCCTAGTCTGACTTAATGGTCCACAGGCCATTCCATGGCACAACACGATTGTATGGGTTGTGTTGGGCTTGTAGACCAGGACGTCCGACACTATTGTGCTATTGGAGACCCTTCCCCAACGGCTAGTTTCAACTTTTTTTTTTTTTTTTGGGGGGGGGGGTTGCAGAAATACCCCCTAACAACTATATGGGGGTATTTATGTATTTTGGTTTTGGGGGAAATGAAATGACAATAATACCCCTAACATCTATATAACAACTAGTTTAAGAGGATATATAGGTAAAGTGATAAATGATTTTATAATGAAAAAAATATATCTAGTCCTTGCCACCATGGCACGTGATCTACTAATCCCTCTAGTGTATAGTTTCATTGGAGTCTTGTTTTAATGCAGGCACTGGGGTGCTGGAAATGTGCATATACCTTAAAGATTGGTTGGATGCTGAGGATAGATTACAAGACAAAGGATAGCATGACATTACACTTGATGTTTCACCTTAAGTAGATGATGGAAATCAAAGAGATTATTAGATGAAGATGTAGGTGGAGGCGAAACTTGAAGAAAAATGATGAAGTCAATATTTTTTGTATACTCAATATTTCAATTATTGTATTTTTTTTTCAATTTTTAAAATCATTGTAAAAATTTCAATTTTATTTAAATTAGTTGTTATTTTCAACAATGTGATTTTTTATTTTCAATTTATAATTGTATTATATTTTTTATATTTTATTCAATTTTCTATATTTCATTCATCCATTGATCATTCTATTGTTCAAATTCAAGAAATAGAATTCCTATTTTTTCCAATTTGTTGTCCAATTTGTATTTTTTTAAGTATTTAAGTATTTTTTTCATTTTTTCGTAAGATTTTTTATTTTTCCAATTTGTTCCCAAAGCTTAAAGGAATTAAGGAAAGTGGAGTATTTTAGTTTTAGTGCTTACTTAGCAAAAAAAAAATAATAATAAAAATGTAAAAAAACAAAAAAAAAGTTTGGCCCAGGCTTAATGCTCGATTGGTAGCCCAGCTTGACACAGGCCAGGCTCACAACACGACCTACAGCCCGCCCAACCTAGGTCCGTGGCACGACACAACCCGACATGGGCTCAAGCCATGGGCCGTGCCAAGCCTATCACTTGAAATATCCCAGGGGAGGAAAGCACAACCCAGCATGACCCAATTTACACCTTTACTTACATAGCTTCTCAATTGTTTGAGTTGCACTGACTGAACCTCTTCAAATAAGCTACTTGAGAAAGCTTTACTAGAAAATTGATTTTGCAGCTCATGCAAATCAATTTTTTACCTTATGTATTTTTTACCAAACATGTGACTTACGAGCTACTTGATTTTCATTGCTACATACACAACCAAGTAGTATACTATCAAATACGTACACATCAACTTGATGTAACCGTTTCTAGTCACGTATCATTTTTTGGTGATGTATCAATTTTTTGGCTAAGTACATCGTCATCTCGTCTGCTCCCATGTGGTTGGTGACTCAGGGGCTGAAGTGAAGCTCCCTGGTGGCGAGATGCTTGGTGGCGAGCTACCTTGATGAGCTACTTGGAGGTGAGCTACCTTGATGAGCTGCCTGGTGGTGAGATACCTTGATGAGCTTTGTTGCTCTTTTAGAGGCCTGCAAGGAACCAGGTGTCAGAGGACCCGGGGTGTTTACCCGGTGAGGTCACTCCGATGGCTAAGTCAGTACTTAGTAGCGAGCTGAAAAATAACCTTAGAGAACGAGAGAGAGCTAGAGAGCAGAGATTACCCCTCCTCTTCTCGCCTCCCTTTGCCTTTGGGGGGTGAGGTCTTTATATACTGGAGTCCTTGTGGGTTAGGTGGAGCAGTTCCTGGATTCCCACTGTGATGGGACTTGCTTTTGTGTTAGGTGGGGATAAAGCCACCAACTGGTAAGGTTGCCCATTTCTGCCTGACTTGGGGAGTGGGTGAGCTAATATAGCCGTTACAAGTCACAATCCCGTAAAATGCGGGGTACGGTGGTGAGCTCCTCGGGGTTGTCAGGTTGGCACCTATGTTAGGCCGCTAGGTCGCGCCAGGGCCAGGCTGCTAGCTCGTGCCAGGGCCAGGCTGCCAGCTTGTGCTAGGGCCAGGCCGCGTCTATGCCAGGCCACCTGGTGGGACATCATCAACTTAGCAAAGGCAAGTTGTTGTCAAAGTGGTCCCGGGTGTTACCTAGTTGTTATGAGGTGCCAGGCTACATGAGGGTGAGCTGCCTGTGGCGAACTGCCTGTGGCGAGCTGCCTAGTGGCGAGCTGCCTAGTTGTCAAGAGGCTGCACTTAGTTGTCAAGAGGCTGCCAGGTGTCATAATGTCATTGGAGGGAAAAATCTGCCCTCATCACAACCCATTCAATCCCCAACTTATTTTTTTGGTCAAAACTCAAAAGAATATCATCCATTATTCTAGCAACCCGAGGAGTGACAACGACCACGACAGCCCTAACTCCGATAATAAACAAGAATCCAATTGCCCCCTTTCATCATCTTGATATGTTTCAAGTATTTAATTCAACATTAAGGAGAAGGCAAGGAACAAAGTTGTGAAAAAGGTAGATTTTAGTGAGCTATCAATTTTGATCTCTAACCTAAACAAAAATTTTGTAAAAGTATTATTTAAGGGGTTCTCTATTTTCATTTTCCAATTCTAGGTATTATTTAATTGTTTTATTTTGAGTTCCTATGCTTCGTCATCATTGTTGGATTTTAATCTCATTAGAGATTAAATCCAATGGGGTTTGATTGATCAATTAAATAGAAAATACACCTGCACATGTCTTGAAAAGTAGTTTTTTCTCTTACTAAAACTAGTTTTTAATTTGTCCGACATTGGAAAATTACAAGACTTGTTTTGGGTTTTTAAATATGAGCTTATTTACACTCCTTAGATATAAAGAGGAGATTATAGAGGCTTGCTATCACGCAATGCACGTACATGCGTGTGTGCGGCGCTTTAGACCACGTGGCTTGCGAAGGGCGGCTTTGACTTTTGGTGTGAGATTGACCGTTGGTGTTATCAACGGCCACAATTTGTTTAGGTGTGATCAAGAGACACTATTCAAAGTTAATAGTCATTATTTGTTAACTACCTTTTAATAGTTACAATTTTTGAAATCGTGACTATATTCAAGGAGCATTTTCTGAACCAATACCTTCCTCTGCACTACGACTCTTCAGAAATTATGTAAGGAGTGTGAATCAAATAATTGTACACACAAGTTTTCGAAATCACTCCTGTTTTTCTCAATCTGATATGCTATTGTCTTATAGAAGGTTTCTTCGAAGACTCTTCAACTTTGCTGGTTGCAGACTCTCGCCTAAGGTTCTGTTGTATCCTGTAAATGGACTTTCCTGTAATCCAACAACAAACTCAGTGGAATTGAGTGAGGGAAAATA